TGGTCAGCAGGGAGGCGATGAGTAGAAACAGAAGCAAGAAAGACATGTTCTCTATGGTGTGCAGCAACACCGGGTCGTAGTAGTAAAACCGGTTTTTGTATTTGATGATTTTGTTTTCTAAAGGAATATTAAATTTAATAAATGTGTCAAGATCATTCGTTTCACTATTCTGGATCATTTTCATCCTAATAAATTAACCTGATACATTTACTTTACTTTAAATAAGCTATTTAGTGGTGTTGGTAAAAGGGTGGGAATTCTGAATTTCCATAAGATTTCAACTTAAAATTTACCTAGCAAAAAATAAAAACTTTTCAAATCTGAAGATATCACATGATTCTGCACATAGAACTACATCATTAATACCATGGGCCGATTTTTCAAACTCAAAAAAAAAATTCGCCTCCGTATGACACACCCTAGTGAGTAGGCCACTCTCACATAACTTCTACCATATTGACCTCACCAGCTGCGGCAGGTGTCATGGTGCGTGACGGTGGTGGTGGTGAGCGACGACCCAGCCTTCCTTGCCGCCTTCGCTGAGTGGTCCCTCAAGGGCCGCCTCCTTGTGTGGTCGACAAGGCTCCTCGTCGTCACTCGCCTGCCCCTCCCGGAGCTCCAACTACTACACAAGATGATGTCGAGCAGGAATGCCATGTTGCTCATTGTGGATGCTACCTCGGAAATTATAAGGTAACCACAACATATTTGTCACTGAATAATGAACTAATTTAGCCAACATGTGGACACACACACGAACTTAAAAGTCTTCTGGGTTCTTCCAGCCCGGAGCTTCTGCACACACAGTCAATCATTATTCTTATGGATAAGACCTGAGGTTTGTCTTTCCGACAAATTTGGCAGATGCTACAATTTTCTAGGCTAATAGTATCACTATTGTCTGGGTTGGCTGTGATCATGGTGTTGCCTCACAAGGATATCACGACTATGAGGTCAATATTATATTGCAGAATGATTGCCGTTCCTTTGTGTTAACTGTAGTGCCTAGTGTAGTACACCATCACGCATGACAACTGCAGCATAAGGGTGTTTCGAAGATTAGCTATAACACTCCTGATGTGATGGGGAGCACTGACGGGCGCCAGTGTAAGGTCTGAAAATCTGTCCCTTTTCCAGAATATACCCGGGTAGATTCACAGGCCTACAATCTACCCCGGGTTAGTTTCTGGATTCTATCCCAGGGCCAATTTTGCGAGTTCCCAAAATCTACCCCTAACCCTCAGAATCTCTACCCTTAGATAATACGTCAGCGTATACAAATAATCAACCTTCTGAGGTAGATACTGGGAAATTCTACTATCTGCCCCCTCAGTAATAAATGTTACTCATTACCCACCTAGATTTTTAGTTTTGTAATTATTAGTATTGCTCTATTTTTTTTATACAACAGTGATTTCTATATGTTTTTCCACTGGGGAGTAAATTAAGGAGTAGATATCACACAGCGATCATTTCCGATTGTACACGTCAGCTGGCATGAAATATGCAAAGACATTCTATGAATTTAAAGGAGATGATAGAATCACTGTCAAGTCCAAATTTATGTAGACGCTAAACTAGGCAACGTCGAGAGATGCGCAAGGGTTTACTCAAGGTCTTTATATAAGGTCTTCTCAGCATCAAAGAAAACGGAACCTCTCAGAGCTCTTGAGGACACAAAATAGTGTCCGTACAAATTGAACAATAATAACAAACATGCTGAGCACTTGCTCAGTTTTTGAGTGTTTATCACAAATTAGAATCATGGATGATATAACTTTCCATCGCTTTCCGAAGGATAAGGAATTGCAAAGAAGATGGATTCACTTGTGTAAGAGGAAAGACTTTATAAATGATGAAAATGCCCAAATATGTAGCTTGCATTTTGAGGCCAGTACGTTTGAGTAAAACATGAAATATAAACTCCTTGGACTATCAGTACCAAGAAGACGTGTAAAAATTAAGAATGGAGCAATACCAAAAGCACAACAGCCATGTTCAAAAGCTAAGCCTATATTATTTCAGTTACAACGTAAAACCAGGAGTGTTATAACACAATGTAGCCTACTGCGTGTCCGAAATGAAACGCACCCCCCAAAACAATTTAAAATAATTTTTATATACTTCAGAGAAGCAGCGCAATACAATACAGAACGCTCCTTTTAAAAGAGTGTCAGTTTTACTTCCTTCATTCACAAGTTTTTAAAATATCATTATCATTAGACAAGAACACTTTGTCGTTGGATGTTGGAGGGAAGTGTAAGCTGCCTAGCGGGAAAGTAACGAATTAATATCATGTTTGCAGTCATAATTTTCATGTGCTTATTTTTACATCAACTGGTTATCAATGGGTGTGGATGTAGCAGAACCTCTCGTCCTCTAAGACAAGCTCTCACACTGTATTGTTGATTGGCGTTATAACCCTATTGCAGACTATAAATATTAAATTACTGTATGTAATTAATTAGGTTAGGCTATAGTGCAAAGGTTTACTAGTACCTAATAGACTAGGGAAAATAATGAAAGACCCAGAACAAATTGCAATAGTAGTTATTTTAACGTTATTCAACTTGAACACATGACTCAAATAAAATAGTAAAAGTATAACTGAATAAAAAAAATGGGAACACTGTCCGAAATGCATGAATTCCAAATGGCCATCAAATAACCGAGTTATACCTGGTGGAGGCAGATTTTATCAACATTTGTTTGTGTTGAAAGGTTGACACGTTTTCATTTTCAGATATATTATAAGAATTATACATCATAGAACTCGCCATTTCTTGTTGGGAAAAGCAAGCTCTTCCAGACACATTGAATAAAGCCCAGAAACTTTATGATGACCTTATGGATGGAATAATCACACTGGAAGATGTAGAGAAATCGGCCACATTGGAACAGATACAGAATCAGCTTGATATGATCAAAGAAGATTTAACAAAATCACGGACCTCCAAGCTTTGGTTACAGTACTTAGAAATGATTTTTATCCTCCAAGCATTCATCAGGGCTGAAAGCACAGGAAATTGGATGTGATGCGAAAGATGCTGCCATTCGTAACAGCTTCTGGTCATAAACATTACACCATATCACTTTTTCAGTATCTGCAGGAATTTGATCATCTAGAGGAAGAGCAACCAAGAGTCTATCAACATTTCCTACAAGGATTCCATGCGGTCAGAAGATCAGATAGGTTCTGTGCTGGGTTATCTCCCCTACCTTGGCACAGAACAAGTATTGATACGAAGCCTCAAGTCAACAGGTGGACTGACTCGTGGGCGAGGTATGGGTGAGACACAACGTCTGGTATGGCTGCTTTCAAACGACGTCACATCTGAAGTAAACTTAGCAATGCAAGAGATGTCTGCAGTCACCTTTGAAACTAGCTAGCGACACATCGACACATGAAATACCAGAATGACAAGGGATGTGTCTGATACTCACAAGATGGTTCGCTTCTTGATTTCAAGGAATCCTTTCACAGATAACCATGAACTGTACAGTTTGGTTACTGAGGTGTCAGCAAATGAGTCCGTTAATGCTGATCAAGCATCAGATGTTGGTAATAAAGTCCTTCAAACATGATTGTGAAAAATGTAACACAACACTTTTTCTAACGTACAGAACAAGTGATGCCTCTCAGCAGCAAAAATGCTGTAAAAATCAAAGATGGTGATATCATCATTGATCCCTGGCTCTTGTTCCAGAGACTTGTTACTGTAGTCTCACAAAACGGCAATCTTGCCGAAGCACTTGAATATGAACTCTGCAGTTATCCACCCGCACTCTTTGAGAACAGGATAATGCCAAGACCGCAACAAACTCAGCATTGGCTAATGTACTGTGGAAGATGATGCCTCATGATATGCCTACTCCATCAAGTGATGTCCAGTATATACTGGATGAAGGTGCATTGCTCCATAGATTGAGGTGAAGCCAGGGAATGATATATGATGATCATGATCTCTGTCAAGCCTACACAAGGTATGTCTCATCTCATTATAGCAGAGCCGTAGTCGTATTTGACGGATATCCTAATGATCCATCAACTAAAGATGTGCCTCACCTAAGACGAGGCATGAAGTATGTTAATGCTAGTGTAAAAGTATCTGGTTCCACGGTGCTCCAAGGGAAGAAAGTGGATTTCCTCTACAATGTACAGTAGTCAATAAACAGAACTTCATCTACCTGCTAGTTGATCATTTGACTCAATCAGGTTGTTGTGTTAAACATGCCAAAGCTGATGCTGACTTGGTTATTGTTCAGAATGCCATTGCTACTGCTCACAAGACTCCTACTAAGCCTACAATCATGGTTGCTGATGACACAGATATTCTAATTGTGTTGTGATGACGTATGACAACATAAACTCCATCGATATATTTCAGACCTGAACCTCGTCAAGGCAGCAAAAGAGACCCAAGATGCTGGAATATGGAAGTAATGCGAACAATGCTTGTTTCAAAAGTCTGTGGTAACATTTTGTTTGTGCATGCTATCCTAGGGTGTGACAGCACGTCTTCTTTATGGTGTGGGCAAGAAGATAGGTCTCAAGTTAATTCACACAAATAAGGTATTCCTGGGGCAAGCACAGGTGTTCTCTAAACGTGACAGTACACAGGTAGAAACTATTAAAAATGGGAAAAGTGCATTAGTTCAAATCTACAAAGGTCTCCAATGTTACACATTGAATTTTCTTAGGTTAGAGCAATTCTACCAAAGGGTAGGCAGTAGTACACTAATATGTGCAACCTGAAGTGATCCCACCTTCATCAGCTATTGCAGCATATCACAGTTTACGTGTATATTTGCAAGTTAAGGAGTGGAAGGGTAAAGCAACTAGTATGTCACCAGAAGATTGGGGATGGTACAGATAAGGTGACAAATTTCTTCCAGGTCCCACATATTTGCTTGAAGTAGTCAGATGTAACTACAAAGCTAGATGTAATACTAGACAGTGTACAGTCTCGTTCATGATTCTTCGAACACTCCTGGAGACAGCTGGCAACTCAAGGCCGTTTGTTTACTATAGTACGTAGTATAATATTATACGAATAAACAAAGCCCAACCATTAAATTAAGCAACGGGGAATTAAGTAACAAATCACTTATCACTTTTACATTTATTCATATTTTTTACTACGTACTATAGTAAACAAACGGCCTTGAGTAGCTAGCTTCTCCAGCAGTGTTCAAAGAATCTTGAACGAAACTGTACATGCTGCAAGAATGGACTCGATTGCTCCTCAGGCTGTGACCACTGCAGAGGTGTTTGTATTAATATGTCACAGTCAGATGATGAGGATGTTGATGAATGAATAATCAACTCCTAAGATTTTCTCACCTACTTATTGTATACACATAATTATTATTATGATTCAATTTTATATGGTGGCCCTAATTATCATGTTATGGTACATTATTGTGCTTTATACAGTTCATAGTTTTCTACAGTGAGGCATTTTGATATTTTGTTAAGCAAATGACTGATAAGTTTCTTTAATATTCTCACAGTTTGGGTTTAGGTGAACAATACATAATTATATAGTCTACTGTACGTGTCAATTTTGGTTTAGTTCTTTATTAATACTGAATGACACATTTATATTATAAAACAAAATTTAAATTATGTCCATTTATAACATCTTCAAACAACCTAGAAAAACACAATGTTAATCAAGTATTGCAATTAATTATCCAATTTCTATTTGGAATAAGATATTATAATGGCAGCCATTTTGGAATAATGCAGAGTTGGCAATGTTCCCATACGTGGATTTAATTATAATTTTCATATGTTATTTCAGACATATTTATGAGTTAAATAATACTGGTTTCATTACAACTGCAATTTGTTGTGGGTTGACCCTTATTTTTCCCTAATTTCCCTAGACTATAAGACCTTGGCTAATATGTTATAAATAGGGTATTATGTGCTCCTTTGAACGTATGCTTAGCTAGAACAAATAGTGAGGAAATGGAGTTAGTACAATTGAGCTGAGAACAATTTTAATAAGCATATGTAGAAAACTAATAGATGATCTCAGTGACTTTAAATAATTTAACCTCGTTTCTAGCGATAGTAGAAAGGAGTAATAAAAACATTGATTTCGAACATATCACAATATGTGCAGCTCCCTAATGATGCCATTACGTATTTTGTACGATGTCGTATGTTTTTTTTTAGAATACACATTCTCAACACAAGCATTAATGATTCTCGACAACAAAATCGCTAAATAAGTAAATTAGTGAAATCTAAATATTATACCAAATAAAACCATATGAGTAAATCACTTCTGTTAAAATGTAATGAAAGCTATTTATGCATCCCACTTTTATTTTCCTGGTCACATTGAAAAGTAATTTACACATTGTTACAGTATAAATAGACATTGCTTTTTTGGGGGCAGAATCTAAATAGTAATGGCGATTAGTGAGGCTAAAATTTAGTCTCGTTTAATATGGGATCTCGTCCACAGTGGCGTTATGTGCTCCAAGAGGTTTCGTTTTCTTTGATGCGTGAGCAAACCTTATATTCTATAGACCGTGTGTTTACTGTAGAACAGCCCCAGAATACACCGCACGTGTTGTAAGCTGGAGCTCTGTAGTCCGGCACATGATGATAAACACATGAGCTTTGGCACACAGTTAGGGCGTGTCCTAATGAAGATTTTTGGATATAGGGCCACCGCAGATTCGTCATGTAGTGTACGATCTTATGAAGATATTATGCTGTGATGTTTGGTCCTAATATCTAATCTAGGAACAACTGGGTCAATGTCCAGGTTAGGTTAGGTTAGGCATCTGCTCAGTCTTGATAATTTATCAACATTGACAATTTTTAGCAATACGGGAGGTAGATTTCCTACTTTACACAGATGCCCTAACTACAAGGCGAGTCTACAGCACTAAGGGTGATGGCATCTGCGATTTTCAAGTAGTGAGTCACACGTCTGAGAGAATCAGAAAACTCCTACTTAGCTCTATTTGACATGGTCGTCCATCATATGAGTGATGCCATCAGTGAGAAATTAAAGGACTGCCTGTCTCAATGTATCACGGCAGTAGTATAAAAACCACTGGCACGTGAACTACAGTACAGATGTGTGAATAATGACTACTGCTAATTTACTGGGCACTGACAATGTTTTCTTTGTCACGCGTGGCCGGTTCTTCTAAGTACTTGTGCACCCAGCATCAATTACTCCTCAACCTACATCTGATCACGTCCTACATCTCACCAACATCGCTGATCATTTCGGCACTGTTATTGGCGTTCTGTCTCAGTCATCAAGAATATCAGAATGCATAGAAATAATTTACATTATGTTGCATTTATGATCCGTAGAAATGTCTGTATAGTTAAATAGAAGAAGATAAATTGCCTGTGTTTACAAGTATTATCATTTAACTTTTTTTTCAAACTAGCGCAGTAAATAATCCTCTATCTTGAAAACATCAATTAGTGATTTCCCAGTTCTATTCAGTGGATTGGAAAGTAGTCAATGGTGAATTGTTTGGAGTCGATTCTTGGAATTCTCTGAATCTACCTTAAAGTAGCTTCCAGAAACATACCCCATGGTAAATTTTGGGAGACTCCAGAATCAACCCTGGACTTTACACTGGAATGAAGGGGTGAGTGAAAAACTTTACACTTGTACCTTACTTCTCCCTCAGGTGTAATGCTTTATTTATCTCCATTGCGTGTATCGCATTTTACTATGAAGTAAGTAGAATAGTCACTGTATAACTTGTTTGGCGTCATGTAGCTGTATGGGTAGACCTCTCCCTAGCCGTGTTCTCTCTCTCGCCACCCCATCCCAGCCTGTTACCCACCTCGACCATTGCGCGGGAGTATGGTCACTTAGCACAACTACTCTGCTGTCACTCGGAATCAAGTATAACGATCATCCAGCTCTGATACAATGATATGAGTTATTAAGGATGTCAACTACATTGGTGAGTTCTAAGGTGACTAAAGAGGCCAATGTGGGACCGGCAGGGTGGATCACAGATGTTGAACATGTGGGGGGGGGGCTACATCTAGTACGGGAAGGGCGGCGGCAGCATCTTTCCGGCATTGGCGCTTGTCTGCCTTGTTATGCATTCGGGATAACTCGAAAGTATTGACACTTTCCTGTGTGGTGAACCCCCAAGCGTTACGGTATGGAGTAATCGTTTCCCAGGAGAGGGGGTCGATTTGGCACTTTTTCAGGTTTGTCTTACGATTACTGTATCCTTATATCTTTTCAGTTGCCCGCCAGCGTTACGTTTGCTATTCGTTAGGTGACTGTAAAGTAGCTACTTTGGCAGTGTACTGTCGTCCAAGCGGGTGACATGGCCAGTCCAGCGTAGTCGTCCAAGAGTAATGGTAGCCTCGATGCTCCTACAGTTGGTGTCAGCAAGAATACTGGCATTTGTTCTCTTGTCTTCCCAGCGAACTCGGAGGATGGCACACCCCACCTCTCACACATCTACCTTCCGTCACTGATCATTTTTCATCAGTTTACACTACTCTAGATGTCTATTGGTGGTGGTGTAACAGTAGCTGGAGTATCACTCTTAACTATGACCTAGGTTCGTGTCCTTGCCTGATGAGATGTGGGAAGGGTGTTACTATATCCGGGGGGGACCCTCATCAAACATCACGGATGTCCTCGGGGTACTCCGGTTTCCTCCTGCACTAACACTGGTCAATAAAGTTCATAACACGGTGACAAAGAACAGACAATCCGGCCGAGCGACAAGTAAGTTGATAAGTATGGAATTATTGCAACATTAACCTTGTTACATTACATACAACTGCTAACTGAAGCTCACCCGTCTCCCACAGAGTAAATTAAAGGTAGTCATAATTCAACCAATTGGTACATAAACATGTAATACTGCTTCATAAAGTAACAACTAACTCAATGTGAGGTAAAATATTAAAACTGACATTTATTGAAGAATTAAATTATTCATATACTGGTCGATAGGCAGAAAAATTTTAATTTAATTAAAACAAAAAATGTAGGGGCAGCGTGTATGTCCACCTGCCCTACAGTCCCCTGGACGCCAAGGCGTCGATGGTTGCCTCATGGACGCCCCACCGTGGTCTCGCGCTCACCCCCTACCTTCAGCTCTTCCCCGAAAAGTTTTCAAGGTAAGAATACTTACTTTATAATTTCAATATGCAAAATATGTCCTTAATTTTCCATCTAATGGTTTTTGTATTTACTCCAAGTCTTACCTCAAGCATAAATTATTGTGCTGATCATTTTATATTTTACCTGTCCTATAAAATTTATTCTTTTCCAATGATAAGAGTTTAATTCTGCATATTCGAGTTGAAATTGTCCAATGCACAATGTTAGACACTTCTTGGTCGGGACATATTCATATTTTGCAAACTAAAAAGAAGATAACACCAAAGTAAGAAGTATTTGCCCAAAATCTCTTTTTTTTTCAAGTTTAGTCTTAATTTTCTTATGTGTCTTCTGTTTGTTTCCATCGAATAAATTATACATTAATTAGAAGTCTGACGCTCTACAATTCAAGAAAACATTGATATGCTATGACATTTATATATCTTAACAAATGAACGCACCAGTACTTCATAACTAGACTACATTTTTATCGTTACAAAATATCCATTGCATACCAGATTTGCACAAGCCCCCAATCTGGTCGTGTCTGTGATACCAATGGCAATCCACAATGCCTTTTTGATTGAAGAGCCAACATCAGCAGAAGGAAAGCGACTCGTCCATACCGGACCCATCGCTAACGTGGTTGAATACCTGGCAGAGGGCCTCAATTTTACGTAAGAATCGAATTATGTTACACATTCATGCATATAATTTTTTTTACCGGAATTGATTGTTCAATACATACAATATAAAGTGATAACACCTACATACTGTATTTCTTGTTCCCAGGTACACAAACGTTATGCCTAGCGACAGGACTTTCGGTACGAAAGCAGACGATGGATCTTGGACGGGCATGCTGGGAATGGTGAATAGAGAGGTGAGCCTCGAAAAGAATGTAGACTACGGATTCTTAATAGATGTCGTGAGCTGTGTAGTGTAATGGGATACCAAGCATGAAGAATGTTATATCGAAACACATTAGTGATGAATTTTATATCATATTCCACATATAAGCAGTATATTACATCCTCATATTCACTAAAATACCTTTGTAATAATTACAATACTTCATTTGTTTATACATCTCCACAGGAGGCAGACATTTCTATAGGTCCCATCAGTCATACTGCCACTCGAAATGAGGCGGTAGACTTCGCTTGGCCTCTGTGGTTTGACAGTTCGGTAATTTTAGCTGCACTAGGTCGACCGGAGGTGAACCCATGGGGCTTTCTGCTGCCTCTGGCGCCGCTGGTGTGGGTGGCCATCCTGACGGCGCTATTGATCCTGCCTGTGGTGGTGTTCTTGTGTTCTTCATGCCTTTCGATCAACGCTTCCATAGGGAGAACTTTGGGATCGAATACTTATGACGCTATTCGCATTCTGTTACAACAGGGTAAGTTTACAATATTTACACTAAAAAACGGTGCAATCAGATATATAAACTAATTCTGAATCTACAGTATAACAGAAAACGCTTTGACTTTGTCACCAATATTTTTTTATATAAAGTATATATGATATAGTTGTTAGACTTAAATTGAAGGTACAACGTATTCATATTATGTAAAGTCGGCCACAAAGATCCAGTAACCTCCCCGGACTTAACCCGAAACAGTTTCGACCCATGTGTTATTATACTGCCAGTCGTAGTTCGAAAGCTCGGTTTCGGATACGGAATATTCAAACAAGTTACCGGACTTTTGTGGGTGACTGCATATCAAAATTGCTCTCGTTTAAAAGGAAAAACTAAAAAGAAACTGGAATGGTAATACTGCACATTCATATTCAACTTTTTGATTCATCTCACTTGGCCTCCTCCATTTAGATGTTTCGTGTCCTGCTGACTGGTATTGGAAACGGATGATGGTGGCGGTGTGGATGTTGATGACGCTGGTGCTCACACGGAGCTACGCCGGCAACCTCATGGCCCTCCTGGCCGTGAGGCACATTCCTCAACCTTACCAGAGCTTCCGTGATGTGCTGGATGATCCCTCACCAATAATGATCTGGCAGAGAAGCTCCATAAATGCGGAATATCTCCGTGTGCGTCTTTCTAATGTCTAATTCATTTGATATTTGTTGAAGACAATGGGATTTATATTCAAGGATGGCTTAGGAAGAAAAAATGTCGATTTAACTAAAATGTTGCCGTCAACTCTAAATAACATAAATAATAAAATCCTAAATATGTTATATCATAGGAAACATATAATAACAAATCTACATGTCAAGTAAAATTTCATAATTACAAACTGAACTCAAGTATTTTTAACATTAGTTTTAAAGGGTAAAACAAGACATTGCATCACTGTGCTGGTATGTAACGTAATATTATAAACAAAAATAACTTACTTAGTTTTATAAAAAAAAAGGGTAGTTATATCTGAACTGATCAGATCTGCATGTCAATTCATATTTCTGTTCTTACTATACATTTTGCTTTTGCGATAATACTGTCTCTGATATTTTAGATTGTGAAATCCGGCATATTATATGAGGTGGCAAATCTAAAATATGAAGACCGCTTGATGTACCGGACACAAGCCGAGTACCCGCGTCTGGTGGACACCCTGGTGAGGGAAGGACATCACATCCTCTTCGGCGTTGGCGTCTTAATGAGGAATCTCATGGCTAAAGACTACACACGAACAGGTTATGTTATCTCTTATTTGAATATTCACCTAAGTTCCACATTTGTCCGTCGCTTTTATTAGCCCGCTAAGGGTCGTATACTTCAGGCTGCTGTAGTCAATGATTTGCTTTTTGGATATATTCCATTAGGTGTTGTAAGTTTGAGTTACGAGTATGTGCCGTCCTATACCCTTAAAAAGATTTATCTAATTACAAAGGATCGGGCCTGTTCATTAAAATTTTTAGTTATTTCACAATATTTGGAAAACCTTCTTCAAAGGAATTTTCATCCCACAAATCAAGAAAATAGAAATCTATTCCTAACAGGTCGTTGTGATTTCTACACATCTCGAGAAAAATACTTGCCCTTCTCAGCTTCCGTTGTCAGCCAGAAGGACAATCCCATTATACCCGCTATGCAGAAGAGGTACTGTAACGTATTTTATCCTGTTATTAAAGTGTGAACGTTCAGAATCTTTTGTGATGTGTACGCTCTGTGCTATGCATATGTAAGCGCGTGTATATGTGTCTTTATGCCCATATTCTATGGCATAAAATCTATGCGATTGAATTTTGGAAGAGGCTTCAACAACAAAGGTTGTATCTTGTCCTCTTGTACCAGTATCTGGAAATAAATCAACGACTCTATTTTCGAATAAACTTGTGTGAGATACGATGACGTTGAAGTGAGCTGATATTCTGCATCAACAGGGATTATTCTGTAGATATATGTATGTGTCCGACTACAAGTGACGCTGGACAAGACAGTTCAGGTGATAGAACTGAGGGTACTCCAGTGGTTTTACACAGGTCAGGATAATAATGAGTGTGTGTGTGTGTGTGTGTGTGTGTGTGTGTGTGTGTGTGTGTGTGTGTGTGTGTGTAATAATAATAATAATAATAATAATAATAATAATAATAATAATAATAATAATAATAATAATAATAATAATAATAATAATAATAATAATAATAATAATAATAATAATAATTAATGTTTTATTGAAAGAGCATGCCAGCCGGAAGGCTGAAAATATACAGTTACATAATTAGGGAATGGGTCTCTTGATTTACAAGTAATATACAAGTCACATAAGTGATACAAATATGATATATAATAACTAGGTGGGGAGAAGCTCAGACTACAGGACGTTTCAACATAGTGATAGTGCAAAAAGTAAGATTGACTGGGAGTGAATACACTGGTTGATTACAAGTTATTGATAATTTTTACAATGGTTAGGACTAGGCTTTTTTTATAGTGATCAGTTCGTGCTCGTATGGACTGGATGCGGTTGTGGTGTCGAACAACAATTTTTGGGCGAGGGATCTCAGGTGGTAGTAGGAGCCGGTGTCGAGGATGGTGCAGAAGCTTCTCATCAAATTTGCAGATGAGGTCGTGGTGATGGTCAGTGAGAGCCTAGAGGGCCAGTGTATTGAGCGGTTCTTGATATGTAGAGTAGGAAGGGGAGAGAATAATTTTGCATGCCCTCTTTTGCACTTTTTCTAGGTGTTTACGTTGTGTGGCATTTAGGGAGGAAGGCCAGGTAGGGGAGGCATAGGTGAGCTTGTGAAGTATGAATGTTGAGTAAACACTGAGGAGCTCGGGTGCAGTAACTCCGAGGGACTTGAGTTGGCGGAGGAGGTGGAGACGGAAACTGGAGGATTTGATAACTTCACTGACGTGTGGTTTCCAATTTATTTTGTTGTCTATGGTGATGCCGAGGAGCTTAGTGGAATCTACAACCTGGAGTGTGTTGGGACCTAAAGTACTGGAAGGGGGTGGGACAACGTCGAAGGAGAGGTTGATATGCATAACCATGGTCTTGGTCTGGTTGATGGTGACGTGGTTGTTGGTGGCCCAGTTTTGGAGACTGTTCAATAAATCCTGAAGGGCGGTATAGTCGGGAGCAGAATTTTTGACGCTGATATCAATGGTGGAGTCGTCGACATATTTCCAGGGAACAGGGGTTTCTCTTAGGGCATCATTTATAAGCATAAGGAAGCATAGTAGTCCCAGCTTGGTGCCTTGGGGGACTCCACAGGTGAGTGACTGAAAGGTGGAGACAGCCCCTCGGAAGCGTACAGCTTGGCGTCGGTTACTGAGGAAGTCTGTAAGCCATGGTATAAGACTTCTTTAAAACCCGAGGTCCATAGCTTTGTTGATGATTAAATTGTGGTCGACTAGGTCGAATGCCTTAGTGCAGTCAATGAAGGCGACAGCTACAGGCGATTTTCGTTTCTCCAGATGGCGGTATATGTAGTCGAAAAAACTGACAAGACAGAGAGTGCTGGAGGAAGTTTTGCATATTACCAAATTGCTGAGGATCTGCGGCTCCTGCAATATCAATATAAGCCCAGTCGAACACAAAACTTTCACAGATCAAGCTGGGTATTGGGGTGATTACAATGGGTCGTAGCTGATTTAAGGATTGTGGGCTGGTTGACTTGGGTATTGGTGACACATAAGAAGTCTTCCTGTCAGCTGGGCATCTGGTTTGACTGAGGGAAGCATTGATGATTGAGCAGAGGGGTTTAGCAAGCTCTGGGGAAAACCCCTTGAAGAGTTTCATTGGTAAGACAATGGGGTTGGTCGAGCGTTTTAACTTTCGTTTGTCCAGACGTTTTCCTACTTCAAATTCTTCTACTAAGTCAGTGGGAAAGGGGGCTGGTTGATAAGCAGGGAGATTGGTTGTGTCAAGCCGGGGGAGCGTCTGGCATATAGTAGCGAAATGGTTATTTGATTGCTCAGCTGCATCAACATTAGTGAGATGGCAAAGGAAGGGGAGGGGGTGTGTCTTATTGTTTAGTCCACAGAGTTCTTTAAGCTTATCATACCACTGACTGGTGTTGGTCTGCTTCAGGTGTTGCAATTTGGTTGGGTAGTGAGACTTCCTTGCAGTGCGTATTTCGCGGATAACTCGATTGCGAAGGGACCTGCAGCGGTTGTGGTCATTGAGATAAAAGGCTCTGTCTCTCTTTTGCATAAGTCTTTTGATCCGAGGTGTGATCCAGGGCAAATCAGCTGGGTGAGATCTGACGGACTTCTCGGGGAAGAAGTGGTGGTGAGCTTCCGTGGTGGTGTTGGTATATTTTATCCATTTGGTGTCCACGTCATCCACACTAAGTACTTCAGTTCAGGGATGGTGAACTATCCACTGCCCGAAGAGACGCACTGCAGAGTCAGTAATCGGCATGTAGGTCTTGGTGTAGGGTCTCTGTACTTGAGTGGGAGTGGCAGCTGGGGACCAGAGCACTGATAGGTATGTGCTACACCCGATATGAGGCACTGGTTGAGGTGATTGGTACTGGTCCGCTAAGTAGGTTAAGAAAAAGTCAAGGGTATTTTAACCGTGTGTGGGGACGTTCACAACTTGTGATAGTGACAGCTGGCTCTGGATATCAGTGTTGTCAATTTCATTATAATCCCCGCATAATACTAACTTGGTCTGCGGTGGTAATGAGATGATTGATAAGAGTGTCTCTGGTGGGTGAGCGAGGCGGATGGTATGACACACAGATTATGATGGAAGCAGTGTGCCGCGGGTGGGCCCGTGGCACAACACATATCCATAATGCTTCCACATCTGCTGGGACTTGAACATCCAGGTGTGACGGGCGTAGGTCATTTTGACGGAAGAGGGCAATGTCCCCTCCGCATCTATGTGAACGAAGGTGATGAAAGAGTTGATATCCCTCAATATGACACGTTTCAGGCACAATTTGCCAAGCCTCACATATGGCAACGACGCTAGCGGCGGCTGACCTGACTGTGGTTGCCAGCTCGTCAAACTTGTTAGCTAGGGAGGTGACGTTGGAGAGCAGTAAAGACGGGAGGTCATACCATATCCGTGGAACTTCAGTGTAATGGTATGGTCTGTCAGGGGTAGGTTTCTTTGGTTTCCTAGTGGAGGTTACGGTCCTAATGGGCTTATGTTTATGACGCCCCTGTCTATGGCTGCGCGCGTAGAATATGTTCAGTGACTTGAGTCGCGCGATAACACTGCCTTCAGGATAACTGTTCCCACGCTTTAGAAGGTACAGAGAGCGTCGGGAGTAAGTGATTGGTCGCCATCTGTTGTTGTGGATGGACAGAAGTGTTTGTCCCCTGGCGGCACTTTGAGGGCCACTGACACTGGTAGACATCTGTTAATATTTGTCAGTCGTAAACACCGTGAGTCCTTGTCACTGGCACTTTGAAGGTGACCGACAAAGTGCCCACTGCCTGGTATTATATTGCTGTGTTTTTGTGCTTTTCCTTGGGACGCACGATCGGAACAGTGTTTAGTAATCATTCATTGTACTAATCACTTGAATGTTTTGCTGAATAAATCCCGGTGTAGTAAGGCTGATAGGGCGTTGGGATATAGCAGGGGCAGGGGGAGGGGGCAGCGCCAAACAGACTCTGCCTGGCTGCCAAAACCCGGAGCGCCTTCAGGGCACGTCTTGTCTCACTGATATTTGACAAGTGTGTGTGTGTGTGTGTGTGTGTGCAGCCACACATATGGTGGTGAAATGTGTCTAGAGTGGCTGCATTATGATACTGTTAAGGTGCAAGCACTGCTTGCTCCCTCTCGCTTTCAGTTGTCCCGGCTGGCTTGCCCTCGTGGCGAACAGGGAAGCAGCTTGCATAAGCCTTCCTCTGACAGTACACACCCTCCTCACCATCAAGTCTCCTGGTGTGCCTCCTCGTGGCAACACACGGTAACTAGGTGCCTCGTGGGCCCAGGTTACATCAGCAGAGCATCTCGGAGTAGCAGTAGGCCCCAAAGGGACGGCCCATAAGCCCACTGGCATGTGGACACGTCCTGGCTCCAACCAACCACCGCCCGCTGCCTTGCGGATTAACCTTGGCATATATAATGCTATGGGAGTAAACCCCTTCGCCGTGAACGGACCTCTCTTCTGACCCTTCACTGCTAAAGCCTGCCAGCCTGTCTTTAACCGTTGACGACCCGAACGAAAACGACCACCTCACCACCATTACTCACACACCCGGGAAGCTCGTTCCAGACAACGCCCTTTCTGTGCCTCCCCACTGATCAGGGGTGACTCCTGATCAGAGGCGGCCCTGATTTGGAGATCTGTAAAGGCTTTCTGCAGCGGACTTGGGCCGCGATCCCACTGGTGTCACTTGCACCATTGGCTGCTTTTCTTTGATCTTCCTTCTCTTTCGCTCTGGCCTAGGGACCTGCACCCTAGAGGTGTATTCGTCCTTGGGTCCCCCCTGTAACTGTTCACCTCCACTGTAGGAGATTGTGAACACGAAAGGGTAGGAGCAGAACCAACCCCTCCGCCGAGCCTTCCTGGGAAACCATGATCGTGCGGGTCCACCTAGGAAGGGGGTCGCAATCCTTAATCCTCCACCCCTCCCCTGAATAGGTACACTTTAAGCTCACGCCTATAAGTGAGCACTTACCAACAATAGGGATATAGGTTCCCCTAACGGGGCTCTTGGGTGAGT